ATTATTTAAAAAACTTCTTAATAAACTTAAATTTCTTCTAATAAAGTTGATAAAATATATATTAAACTATATTTTTTTTATAATAATTATATTATTAACATTAATATTTTATTTTTTATTAAAAAATTAATACTTTTTTTATATGTTCACAGGCAAATTTGCCTGCTCTACAGTTTAAGGGATATAAGGGTGGTCAATAAAAAAGATGAAAATTTACAAATTTTGAGTAATTTTAGTTATTAAACTAGTTTTGTTCACATGATCATGATCAATAGAATAAACTAATAAAAATATTTTTAATTAAAAAGTAGATTTCCTCTTTTCAACTGACTGCCTTCCATATTTTATTTTATTTTTTTTTTTTTAATAATAAATTTTAATATTATAAATTTTATTTTTAAATAGGTATAAAATGCTAATGCTATATTTTAAAGGAAGTTATTTGAAAATTTAAGTTAATCCTACTCTTAATGAAATAGATAAACCTGATGTTTTTGTTACTTATGATGAGATATTATTTTATGTTAATTATGATCAAAATCTAGATATGGTTCTGATATTAAACAACCATTTTGAAAAAAAGTATAAGAACAAACAATTAATATTAGTGATTTTTATGTGAAACTATTAGAAGACTTAAATTTAATGAAAAACAAATAAAAACTGTTGATAAAAGTTTTCACATAAAGCAAGTACAATAATACATCCTGAAAAAATTATGATTGTTATTAAAATATTGAATAATTAATTAAGCAGATATATAAAATTATATTATTTATAAAAAATATAATTTTATTAATTAATTTTATAAATTTTATTTAAATAGATTGCTGAAAAAGCTATTCTTATTTTTGAATTAACATATTTTAAAGCTATTACTATATTTGTTTTTGATAATTCTTCTTCATATTGTACTTATGCTTTAGATGCATTTAATGCAAAAGCAATGAATGTAAATCCTAGTAGAAAAAACTAAGAATATGTAATATTATCTTTAATCTTTGCAAAAGTTTTGCATCTTTGTGTTAGCATTAAAATATGCTAAATTTATTAACAATTTGATATATTACAGACTATTAAAAGTATATTAAATAAATATTTCATATAAAATTGAAAATATAGGTCTATATTAGGTTATATCAAAAAACTATAATTAGCTAATGATAATTTTTTAATTATTCTAGCAGATTAATATTATTTACTAAAAACTTATAATATCATCACAATACTATTACAAGAAAAAATAATAACTTAAATATTATTTAACAAAAATTAATACTAGTAAAAGGTTGTTGAAGTCTTTTATTATTATTTTTTTTTATTAAAGCTATTAATAATAATCTGCTGCGTTGCTCTAGGATTAAATACAAAAGCATCTTGTGAATTAATAATAATATGCTGGTAATTTATTAATCTTTAACTAAAAAATTAAAAACAAAAAAAAATTCGTAACCTACCTAAGCTGATCTTCTATCGTAAATCTGAAAGACAAACCTAAAAAAATAATAAGTAATCAAAAAAAGAAAGAATTAATAAAGCTAACTTAACTATTCATAGTTATAAAATTGAAGAATAAATCATAATAAAACTGATGCAAGTCCAATTGTATTACATAAAATTTTTAATTTTTATATTAGCTGTTTTTATTGCAAAGTTAAAAATTGATTCTAAGCTAAAAAAGGAAAATTGATTATGGTATATTTCAATTTCTTTATTTTAATATTTACACGTATTGCATAAAAATAAATTTTACATTATTTGCTAACTTTATCATCTAATCTACATAAATAACAAATATTGAATTATATAATATTATCTTCTAGTAATAAATCTATATCAATAATTAATTTATTTACATAATTCTGTTAGCTTGCTGGTAGAATAGATAATTAAGAAGTAAGCTGATCAAGTCTTTTAATTTTTAATAAAACATTTTATAGAATACTATTCTTTAATTTTGAAATGCAATTAAATATTCAACATGGATTTTAAGACTTTTAGCAATGAAAGTCTCAAGAGATTGAAGTGAAAACAGACATTTTTAAATTCTGTATAATTACTAGCATCAAGATATTTGCTAAGCTTCTGCTTTCATACTTTATCAGCAACAAACAGTCTAATGCTTTCATTAGAAGGATTACTATAAAAAATTAAATATTAGCATATTTTTAATAATCTATATATATATATATACTTATGAAGTTTTTACAAGTAAGTCTTTATTTAGCAAGAAAAGCCATATCTTTATTAAAAATATGGCAAAAATTATCAAAATATTCTCACATTTTTGTGTATACAATGCTTTAAATTCTTTAGATATAGAATCTATTGTTAAAATAATTTTCAGAATAAGTGTTTTGCATAACTTTTTTGTAAGATTTCATGTACGTAAAAATAAAGTTTGCATTGGTCTATAACTAGATTTGTTATGGTTACTTTATCCATTAATTCTGATGAATACTTGCTTCAACTTAATATATTATATAATTAACTTTTAAAATGAAAAAAAAAAATAAAACTATATATAACAAACCTTATATAGTGAAAAATTTTGAGCTTTTGTAATTAGATCTAGTTATATATATAACTATTTAACAAGTGTATCTTTATCTAAAAAGAATAACTTTTGTGAATTAGTTGGTTATATTACTTATGGCTGATAAGAATCAACTTGAGTTTGAAGTTGCTAATCATATGATTTTCAATCCTTTAAACCATGATTTTGTAGTTGATAAGAATCTATTGTTTAATGCAAAGTTGATCTTTGAAATCTCTGATTATATAAACTTTTTGAATGTAAAGATAATTCTTGATTTTTTAAACCATAGTCTTCTTGTATCGATAAGAATCAGATATGAAGTTGATCTTTGAAGTTGTTGATCATAAGAATTTTTGAATGAAAAAGTAAGATCAGTTTGTGGTTGATAAGAATCAATAGTTTGATGTAAAGTTAATTTTTGAAGTTCTTGATCATATGAATTTTTTGAATGAAAAGGTAATTCTCAGGGTTTCAATTCATAATCAGTTAAAAGATATGAAATTGATGCATCTTCTAATAATAAAATAGCATTTCGTGATGAATTTTTATATTGCTTCATAGAAAGTTCAAGATCAACATAAAGTGTAAAAGATTTAGATTTATATTTTTTATCAGTTTTGTTGAAGTATTATAATATTGGTAATTAATTCGCATCTTTATTCATTATTAATAGAGATCGAATAAAAGTATTGGCTAATATTAAACTTTGATTTGTATTATTTGATGATTCTTAATTAGAATTATTTGTTGAATTATTTTGATGTAAATTACTCGTAATTTGCTCTAATGAAATACAAATAGATTTATCAGATATTTCTAAATAAAAGTAAAATAAAATAATTTAACAGATTTATAATTATTATAAAAAACTAAATTGTTAAAAATGGTTACCATTTTTGTTGTTTTTTTTTGTATATTTGTTAGAAGCTTTAGGTTTAGGTATTTCTATTTCTGAATTTTCTAAAAGTTCGCTTGTTACACCTTTTGAATTTTTTTTATACCTCTTATTGCATTTCTTATACCCCTTACACCTCTTGCACTCCTTATACCTCTTGTACTTCTTTTACCTCTTACACATATATCTAAAAACTTGTTTAATAAGTTATGTATTATATTGTATAATTTTAATTTAAAAAAAAAAGTGTGGTTTTAAAACAAAATAGCTTATTAATGATCTAATAATCATTAAAATATTTATAATAAAATAGACTATATTTATAAAGCTAATTGCTAGTCTAATAATAATAAACTATACTGAAATAGTAAATGATCAATATAGATCATTTTTTAATTCTTTAAATGTAAATCAATTATAATTGGCATAGTATTATATTTTTCTTTTTTTTCACAAACCTTATAATTTTAAAAGTTAACATCATTATAAATATAAATAAATTTATATATATATACTTTTAATTTTTAAGACTAATTCCTAAAATATGTCTAGACATTGTCTTATACAATCAAAAATTCTTGAATCTTTACAGTTTCGAATAAGAACTCCTAAAAAAAGTAAACAATTTGGTAATCATAAAAGTATTTATCCAATAAATTTAGATAATTTAAACTAATTTTTTATATTACAAGAAGGTCATGAGTTTGAACAAGATCATAAACTTGAGCAAGATCACATACTTGAGTGAAGTCATCATTTTAAGCAAGATAATTATTTTGAGTAAGATTATAAATTTGAGCAAAGTCACACTAGACAAGATCAAAGGTTATCAGTTTGAATAAGATCGTAAGTTTGAACAAGATTATTATTTTGAACAAGATCATTATTTTGAGCAAAATTATGATAACGAATAAGAAAATGAATTTAATGATTTAAAAATATTTGATAGAATAAAGAATTTTTTTTAAAACTCTAAATTTAAATCTTTTAATTCATTTACAACAATAGCTTTTTTTATTTGAATAACAAACTATATGATATGTAAGTAAAGTAATTTTAAAATATTAATTTAAATATTCATAAAATTTTATTTTTTTTAGCGACATCTGCTTATCAAGATATTATTCAAATTCTTAAACATACTTTATTTAAAGTTACTGAATTATGTTCTAATTTGCAAAAACTCAAGAAGTATCATAAAACATTACCATTAGTGGAAATACAAAGTTATAAAATTCTAGTAAATATTCACAAAACTCCTTTTACTACTAAAGATATAACTTAAGCTTATTATTTTTTACTTATTAAACATCTTAAAAGAATATTACAAAATCTAACTATTAATTCAAAATTATACTTAAAGTCAGAAATTTATAATGAAATATGTGAAGAAATTTGGTATGAAGATCTTTGGGTTGAATTACCTTTGTTTAATCAATCAAAAATTATTATGATAAAAGGTAATTTATATGTGATAATTTTATTTGCTATTATTCTTTAGATTACAATATTAAATATGATCAAATTATATCATTTATTAAAGTAAAAGGTATAATAAAAGCTCAAATTCAACAATTATTGACTTATAATGAGATTCCTTTACATTTTAAATCACAAGATCAATTTATAAATACCAGCAAAAACCTTTGGTTACTTAAAAAAACAATTTTACTAATTATAAATCTTATAAATATTATTGATAAATGCATAGTTTGGCTTGAAGATAATGATAATTCACCATTATATTATAATTTTTCAATTACTGAAATTATATATAAATTTAATAATTACTAGAAAATTTGCATCATTAATCTTCGTCATCAATATCTAATTGAATATTTATCACTACTTCAAGAGCATCAACTGGAATTCCTATTCTTAAGTTTTTTTGGATTTATACTATGATGATTTTGATATATTTCAAAATACATATTATTCACTTGATAAGTATATTTACAAATTGGAAATATGTCACAAAAATTACGAAAATAACTACAAAATCACTTTATTATTGGCTTAGTACCTTTGATGCTAATATTCATGATTTTATTAAACTATTTCTTAAGAAAATTCATCAACTTGAACGTGAATTTATGATGCAAATTGATAACAAAAAATATTGGTTAACAAAAGGATTAGGTATAATAACTGCTGATCTTCCTTAAGGCAATGATATTGCTAGAGTTCTTTATCATAAAGTTAAATTTAGATGCTGATTATATTATGCAATAAAAAGAGACTTAACAAATATTTCTTTTAATACTATTATTAATAGCTATTATCATCAAATAACTAACCTTCAATTTAAAAAAATTCAAAAGCTTAATTCTAATATTACTCATATATAATGAGATACAGAATATGGATTGCGATCATCTGATCTATTAAATCTATATATTCATGATCAATATCTTCATACGCCACATAATCCCTATTATGCAATTGCTAAAAAGTTGCTCGATTGTTAGATTATACATGTTTAATTCTTACTTTACAAGGAGAATCATCTATAATTCAATATTGGAAAGCATTTAAAACTCCT